ATTCGCCACGAAGTGGCGGTGACGTCACCACGGCGCCTGTGCCAGGCCACATTGCAATGTGGCCAGGAGCAAATTGTGTGTCAAACACGGATTCCTTTTCTGCTTCCAACGATCGCTGGAGTTTTGGTTTGTAAGAGGTGGGACCTTGAAGATGTTGAGATTTGCTTGGAGCTCACGCTTTGATTCTTGAGGCTGCCCCGGTAATTCCAATGCCCTGGATATAATTAACCAAAGTTCACAGGCATTTGGGTAACCGGAATTGATTTTTTTTCTCCACACATCGCTCCTCGTTTAGATTTGACCACTTTGGCAGCCAACGTACCCAGCCTGTTTGACTGTCTCGGGGTCGGGGTTGGTTACACGACTGAGAGGACACGGCAATCTGACCATATCAGGGGCAGCGTCTTAGTGTATTACCATTCGAGCCTCTCGTGGGCCAAGGTTGCTGGTTGCACACTCTTTTTTCCTAGTTTGTGATGCCCCTGTTAATCAAAGCGTACAAAGTCTCCAACGGGGGGGGGGGGGGGAGAGAAAAAAACACATCTTCGGAAAGTGTTGGCAGTTTAATTAAGAACTGTAAATGTTCTCAAAAATAACGTGGGCGCGCGGCCAATTTGCGCGACTCGCTTTTAGTGCGTGCGTGAGGACGCGGGGAGATGAATGCTTTTGACAAACACCGGGTCGGCTGGCATCGTTCCTTAATATAGGTCCCTCTTTCGCCGTCGCCGGGCGACCGACTTGCCAAAATGCGGTGAAGTGATGCAAAGTCACGGAGCAACTTTGTCGTCTCGAAACTTCGTGTGACCCTGTTTTCCGCCTGCGACGGCCTATGATCGATGGCGCTTGGGTTGGTTGACCACCACGGTCATGGGCGGCAGAGGTCAGAGCAGCAAAATCTATTGCACTGTACTGTGCTTCTATGCTGCCACACATTCTCCCCACTTTCATCAACGTGCACTGACCAGTGTGATGAGGTATAGTTGAATAACCCCCATGACTAACACGACACTGGGAGGCCCTCATCCAGCAGTGGATTGATATAAAGCGCTGTGCATCTATGCACATAATGAATATGGAATTTAATTAATCACTTCCTTTATGAAATATAACACATTCGTCAATAAGACTGCTTTAAAAGAAAATATACAATAGGTGACATTTCCGTCATTGGCCCTTCATTATTGCGCATCCATGAAGAAGGGCCCTTGCCTGTAACATCGGGCAAATGTGTTGAGTTGTTTTGTTATTTGTGCTTGTGTAGCACTGGCAACGCAGCAGCACAGAATAATTTCTTGTCAGACGTCGATATCCAGACAAAATATGTCTACATGTATCTGTCTCTCTTTATAACAAATAATTGTTTTTCCACAACCCATCGGCCACGCAGGGGGCTTCTGGTTTCATCAACAACAACAACAACGACTGCCATCACGACTGCCATCACCACGGTGCTTGTGCCAGGCTAGGTGCCCTTTGAGGCCACGTGAAGGTGTCGAAGGCTTTCTGGCAGGAGGTCACGGGACACATCCAGGTTCCATGGGTTGGTTGGCAGATGGCATATGCACGACCGATGCTCCCCACGGTTCCAACGTACAGTGTCTCATGAGCACTCTCTTTAGAAGTCGATGCATTATAGATTATTCTCACGATTCTAATAATGAATCGATTCTGGGTTTTTTTTGTTCGTGGCTCATAGAATCTTGCAGAGATGCAAAATGTATAGACTCCACAATAGTATCATGTATATAAACATACATGAATAGAATAGAACAATTCTCTATTCATGTATTGTGAATATTATATTGAATTTATTTTAACGTCATTTGTAAAGGTTTGTTTGCTCCATTAGGCTAAACGTTAGCAACCATTAGCCTTAACGTTCGCATTTAATAAGCATAACATTTCCATAAACCGAATATAAATGATTCTAGCAAACACAATTCAACATACGTGGAATGGGAATTTAATTAGCATACAATTAGCATATGTTTGAGCGTGCATTGCAAATCATCCTAATGCACGGAGTTCGGCGCGAGTCTTGCGCGAGGGCACGGTCGATTTGAATTGCGGGATCGACTCGTGCGTTACGCTTTCCGCCTGATGTACTTTTCCCGCGTTGCTCGGCGCTACGATGACGAAATGTTACCTCCCTCGCCTGGTATGCAGACGGCCGTGGGATCGCTCACGACCCTGAGGCCTGCTGTATATTTGGAATAGAGGTTTTTTTTGGGGTATAGATCACGTAAATATATAAATGTGTCGTTAAAACCCGCCATCACCCGACACAACCAACTAGTAAGGGTTGTCACGTAAACAGAACGTGCCAATTCGTCACTAGTACTGCATTACCGGTGTGTTGGAGAGCCAAGCCACAAGATTTACAATCTGAGTACGACGTTTCGCCAGTAATTATAACTAGCTTCATCAGGCGACAGCCACATTTCTATTATGGATGATATCGGTCGCGAAAGCCTACGTGTTAAACTGTATATTTGGAGTTTGCGTGTTCTCCCCTTGCTTGCATGGATTTTTCTCCGGGTCCTCCGTTTTTTTTCCCCTCCACATTTGGAATCAATGTGCGCTTTTGCATGTTATAAATTACCACGAGATAAGCCACTTGGTTGAGCTATCATTTGTGATAGCCAGGTCGCTTCTGAAAAAGAGCTAATAACTCAGTGGGCCTTACCTGGTAAAAAAAAAAAGGCGTAGTTTAATCGTTTTTAGAGACACAGACTCTCTCCCGCGTTGGCGCGTTCACGGGGCCACGGGGCTTTCCCTGCAAAACGCCGGTGGGCCTGCGCGTCGCTAACCACACGCTCGCCTCATTAACCTCACGGCCACAGACGCCGGCCAGGAAGCAATTAAGGCGCGTTGGTGGGCACAGGGGGCGGTAGCAGATTGGTCGGGTGAGTCGTCCAGAGAGGCGTGGGAGATCCGCTCAGGGGGGTCACCGAGCGGGGTTGTTGAGCCGCTAAGGTTTGAGCACTGGGGAGCATATTTCTTTCCGCCTCCTCTCCCCCACCCCTCCCTCCCTTGTTCCAACATTGGGTTAATGTGGATTTAGTGCGGCTGTTTAGCAGCCGAAGTAATAGCCTCTTACGACCTCCGATGCCCTCATTTACACAAAACGGCACGACAGTAATGGTAACCTCTTGCAAAGGAATCTGTGTGAGCCCAAGTCTGCCTCTTTGTTTTTTAAAGAAATAAAAAGGGGGGTGGAACATTTTGTACCGTTGCGTTTTTCTGATCGAATCCGTGACGCGGAATATATATATATATTTTTATTCCCCGTGTTTCCCCCGCGAGCGAAAACAATAAAACGTTGTGTTTCTAAGCGAGCCGGTCATTTTAAAGGTGCCGGCTGTCGTGTCGTAGTCACTGCCGTGTTAAACACCTTTGAGGTGTGTATGTGTGTGCAATTATTGTCGAGTCTTGCACTTCACTCGTAAGTCACGGACCGTAGCACACGGTCACTGGGCTGGCAATTATCCACCCCACCACTGCGATTTGATGAATTGGCACGGCTCGGAGCTGTGATTCAATTCAGGAATTAATGCTTCTTGTCTTACCTGTGTTTGTTTCTCATTTGTTCCTTCTTGTTCCGTAAGTTGCATTACAAATGCGTCTAATTTACATACATTTTCAATAATTGATGCCTCCGCTTGCGATTCAACGCATGTATCATGAGCGCAGGGTAGAGTGGTGGTGCAATAGCGCACTACGATGTGAACCCAGCAAATCCCGCCTTTGATGTGTGGTCCGCGCTAATGTCAGTAGGGAGTGATATCTGAACCAGACCCGGGCCCCCATTTCCTGAGTCAAACCGCACCGACCAGCGTGGTGAAGTACTCTCGAAGATCCGCCGTGACCGAAACAGCACAGGGAAATTCCTTCATCCCGCAGTGGATTGAACAAGAGCTGTCAAGAAAAATGATCACGAGCACGCGATTCTAATTGACGAATTGACACCGGTGATGAAAACCGCGCTCCTCGAATGGCAAAATCGGTGGGGCGCATGACAACGATGAGTTTGATTTTAAGCCGCACGGCGCAGCGGGCGGAACGCCGTCAACGCGCAGAACCCTTCATCCAGCAGTGCACCGAGAATGGCGCGCAGCTCGGAGTGGCTGCCATTGATTTGTCGTTTCCGCACGCCACCAGCAGCGGCGCTAGCTCGTCGGCACGCTGGGCGGCACCGGGGGGGCCCCTCCGCGCGCGCCAGCCGCTCCCTCTCCATGTCAGTAGAGGGGGGTCAGGCGCCCGTGCCGCGCGCTATTAAACCCGCCGTGTAAACCGTCTGGGGTCAAATTATCACGCCATTCAAACTCGCGTGGTGATTTAATTGCTGTCGTAAAAAAACGCGTCGACCTTCTGACATAGCCGCCCGTGCCGACGTCCCGGACACGTGGGGCGGTGGGACGGGGGGGGGGGTGCAGGCGGCGCTCAGCAGCAGCCACCCCCGTAGCCATCCCCGTTCTCGGCCCAACTCTGCTGAAGGGACCCAGAAGGTTGAAACCAGTCGAGCGTTTGCTCGTTGCTCGCTTGAACAAATGCCGCTTGCAAATATCGGTGTGCAAAGACAATTGGTGGATCCACGAAAGTGGCGACGCAGAACGTTGTTCTATTTATATTTGCCCATAGCCGTGACTGTCTCTCACAATGTTCATTCTCTTTGTGAACGAAAGGAGGAGGTTTTGGTCGGCTGCTCCACTTCGGTATCCCCTCGCATCGTTCCTTTTTTCCCCCAAGCTCTTACAACCTAGGCTCCAGTCCTGGAAATGCGTTGTCTCTTATTTATTAAAACTCTGACCGTGCTGTTTCTCGCAGGCCGCTCGCTGTCGGGTCGTATGTATGCGAGTTGACTTTCCTTCACACAGTGCATAGCCGACCGTGCTAATCGAAGGCGCGTGTCGTCCCGTGCGCGTTGGCGATCGCGTGTGCCGGTCTCAACGCCGCTCTCGCGTGCTCCGTTCTCCCCCCCCGCCCCTCTGTGTCCACAGCTCCAGTGGCACGCGAACCTGGCGTGCAGTCTGCTCAACCAGCAGTCACTCAAGCGCTCCTCGGCGCAGATCATCGTCACGGCCAAGCGGCGCATGAAGGTGCAGCCGACCAGCCTCACCATGCCCACCCAGTGAGTAGCTGCTCCGTCGAGCAGGGAGTCAATCCTTCGTTCCGCATGTTGGCTAAGGTTTTATGGCAGTTGTATGCGTTCGTATGGCGTTGCCTAAATGCTTCAAGCACCAATGCATGTCATGAATATTTTTTATTATCAAGCGCCTGAATTATTATTATAGTTGACATAAGGTCCCGACGCACCATAAAAGGGCAGCCCCGGTGGCAGCTGTCCCTGTGTTGCACAAGGTGACTCGGCACCACCGGCTTGCAACTCGGAATTAGTTTGCCATTAGGGGGCTGACGTGAGATGACATTAGCCATGGCCAGGAATCGAACTTGGGTCGGTGGGTTCAGGGCACTCCATACCACACACGCGCACAGAGTTATCGGTCGTCCCACGTGTGCGCACGCAGCCTAAAAGTATCCCCCTCTCCTGCTTCCGCGGTGTAGGCGGCGTGCAGCATTGATTACCGCTTACTCGAAGCCACTTAACCTCGAACGAACGAGCGCAAACGCCTTCGCGTTACATTGCGCGCATGTGCAAACACACGTACATGCGCGCTCGCGCATATCTGTGCTAACCACCACGCAAGTACGCGCTCTTTCGCAAGCTCTCGCGGCTAATGCGCTAAAGGTTAATGAGCCCTAATTGAATTAAGTGATGTACGTTTTTTGCTGCGAGTGAAAACGGCGTGGCAAGTCCGGTTGGTTTTGAGGGGCTGCGGGGAGGAGGTGGGGCATGCGGGGTGGAGGAGTGGGAGGAGCACGATTTGGGGGAGATGGAGGCTGGGTGAGCACCGCTGAGGGCCGTCAGGAGGAAGGCCGTCACACCGTTAATTCAGCGGCGCGAACGATCAATGCCCCATCGATCGCCGCGGTGTGATTTGACAAATAGGCCTGTCCGTCCTGATGGGTTCATTAGCGTGGGGGCGCCCGTGCCATCCCCAGCTGTCGCATCCGCTCTGCCCGCTCGCACGGGGCCGCGCCCGGACGGCACGCCGGCTCATCGGCCCGGCGCCGTAACGCGTAACCCTTTCTTAACTCTTGCCCGGCCTTGCCGCCAAAGTTGCGAGCAAAACAAAATGACCGCCTTGCTGGCTTGCGTGGATTTCCCAGGGTTCCTTGCACTTCCCTTGCATATGGCGGACATTCTGAGTGCTAACCAGGCGGACTGTTGTTGAAAATACCAGTCAAGAGTTGGCTTTCCCAAACAAATGCTGCTCGACTAGAACGGAGAGTCCTTCTTAAACATACGCATTCACCCATAATGCTCCATGACGGTACGTAACGAGTTTGTGACTGAAATGAAACAAATTACGGAGAATATAATGATAATTAATTAAAATGAGATGGAAAAGTAGTGGATTCTTGAATCGAATCGCAATCCTGAATTGTGACAATTCATCCAATCTTCGAGGCAGGTTGTGAATCTGTTGCACGGCCTGTTGGTAACGGTGATGATTCAATGGTCGGTTTAAACAGCCGCATATAAAGCATTCAGATAGAAGGACAGCAAAATTATCCAGGGTGGGGTGAGGGGGTGCGTTGAAGATAAAACGCTTGATATGATTCGACCATTTGGCTGATGGGCCCTCACCGCGGTGGCAGTGACGCCCAGAGGGTGTCTTGCTGCGGGAGGAAAAGGTCATGGATTGGAAACCCAGTCGACCCCCGCGTTCAATCGCCGGTGCCAGGCTACGTTCGTCACGTCACTGTCGGCGCCCGGTCTCGCGTGCCGCGCGGGGCTTCGTTCGGTGATGTCGTAAGAAGAAGGGTTTGGGGGATAGCCACATCGCAATCAAGGGCACAGGGGCCGGTTGGATTGTCGCGTCGCACGACCCGAAGAGATTTATATTGAATGTCTTTCGCACCGTGTACATAGCGAACTGTGCTAATCAGAGGAAGGACAAGAAACGAAACACGAAAAGCAGTTTCAAAGATTATTAATTCAATCTAGATAATGATTTAAAAGGTGCACATCTCCCAGTGGCTTCCTCATATCGGAAGGAAGAGCATTCCAGACGGCTGTAGAAGCGCATTTGAAAGCACACGATGTACTGACTGTGACCGTCTTTGTTCGATGGCCAGATGGGGAGAGCTCTGGGGAGGCCTTCATTCAGCCGTAGGTCGATCATGGCCGGCGATTATGATGTCAGCCCATCGAGACAACAAATATCTCTCCCAGTGGAGGCCGAGAGAAGGATGCAAGTTCTGTTTTAGTGAAATAAAATAAATCCGTATAATGAACAAAACATGTCATTGTTCGCAACAGCAGCAGCAGTGACACCGACATGGTCTGACATAGATGTTGGGGAGGCCGCCATCCAGCGGTGGAATAGTTATCAGCCCTGCTGAAATTGTAAAGCCAAACGCCTCTGCATATTCCAGTAACAGCTGTACCATTCAACGGCTCTAAATTGTAATACATAATTTAATCGAAATAAAATATGGAGAGTGCAGCGGTGTTTGTCTAGCAGGACAAATGTTTGACATCGATCTGGAATGCAGTAATGAAATCAGCAGGAGCATCAGTGTGTGGCAGAGAAAGTGAATGTTGCTATTGAGAGCAAAATGTAGTTGGTAGTGGGCGCTCAATGATTTTTGCGCATCGGAGATGGAGTGATGAAATCGCTTCCGGAGCAGGCGGTGTTAAGTGGATTGCAACATCGTCAGGACCGTGAGAGATGGTGACGGGTCGGGGAGGCCTTCATGCAGCTGTGGATCGATCATGGCTGACTATGATTGCGCTCGTGGTGCTCGCTTGGAAATGTTTGTGCAAAAAATTAGCTTTCAAAACGAGCAGAATGCAGCTGACCGAACAAATGAAAAAGGTATTACAGATGCGACGGCACAGGTAAAACGTACGGTTGCAAAGAAAACATAAATAAAGAAAATATTGCATCAAATCTTGACCCCCCCCCCCCCCTCCAAGGTGGAATCTGAAACGAGATACTCTTTGGTTCTTTCGGTAAAGTCACGTGGGTAGAAAAATAAAATAAAAATTAATATATCACGACGTTTCAATCGCTACACAAGCGATCATCCTCAGGCGGAAAAAATATAATCCAGCAGTAGAACTGCTGAACCAGGAAGAATACTTTAATCGGTGCACGATGCCAAACCATATCATCATCAGCCATATTCTATACTGCTGCAGGATGAAGGCCTACCTAAGTCATAGCCATTTCTCATGGTCTCGTGATGCAACAATCCATCCAGCTGCTTCACACAATGATTTCATTGCTCCGTATCCATTGTGGACGTGCTCTTGGGCATGTTCTCTCCTTTGACTGCCTCTCTACCACCGGTCATCGTCCTTTCCAAGCCATATGCCCTTCCCAAGCCCCGCTTATTTCTTTTATTAACATTCAGTACGTTGCCTCTGACTTGCGTGAAGCATGGAGAGAGAGACGCACCCCCTGGAATTACACTCAGAGACAGCAAGAGGAACCCAGTGGATTAGAGAACATTCATTCGCGGGTTAAAGATATCACCCGTTACACATCAACCAGAATAACGTTGAGTCACTATAACGCACAGTTTGAATAACGCGGAGGCTGTTAAAGTCGGACAGCTGGTTCGATAAAACCAACCGAGGTAGTGATGCAGCGCATGTGAACAGGCAACCAACGGGGAGATGGAATTATGACACATTTGGTGTGGGCCTGCGATATGAGATGTGTTGCGGATGTGTAGAATCTTGTGTTTTTCACATCACCTTGGGTCGATGGCTCGCGTAAATGTTGTGATATTCCCTTCCCACTGATTTTGAGGTACCACACCCTGGCTCACCAGGAGAAGGTGGTTCGGCAAATGTGGACTCCACTTCTTCCGTCTGCATGTAATACACTGTTGCCCCCTCGCACTCGTGCGTTTTCTTCGGGTGTTCCGTTCCCCTCCCGCATGTAAACACTCATTAATTTGCCAATAACACCTTAGTATATAGAGGACCGCAGAATCATCTTCTTGGTTCTTTCGGTAAAGTCACGTAGAAGGGAAGTAATAAAATAATTTAAATATGCTAAATTCCTTTTGATATGCAAATTCCTTTGTCAATGCGCCCAGCTTATATATATGCTCCAAGCTCGTGTGCTGTTTCATTCAGACTCTGTCGCCTCGACGGACCTGGTTTTCACCTGAGGACGGCTGCTTGCGTTGTGGCCGAAACGTCGTGAGAATTGTTTTATTATGTTTTATTTTTATTATTTTATTACTTCCCTTCTACGTGACTTTACCGAAAGAACCAAGAAGATGAATCCCTGCAGTCACGAAAGCTTTAAATCGAAATTTAGGACCGCAGAACTTGGGGGCGGGGGGCAATATGGCACCAGCTCACCGCCTGGCTGATTATCCCCCTTGTCTGTGGCTCCTTTGTACCTCTGTCTCTGTATTTTTCACACGTTAGCGATATACTGTGCGGCGGAGCATTACAAGTTGACATTTTTGTAATATTGCAGTAGATTGAGAGTGGCCGGTGTTTGAACGTGCGCACATAGGGCCCTCCATCAGTAATAATACACGGCTGCTAAAAAGCCGCTTGTGCAAGTTAAGTACTTTCAAACATTATTAACTGCTGGGCAGTGTTTGTGAATCGATTTAGCTGGAGGAGCTCTTGAGTTTATCCGATTTGCTCGACTGCTTTCATATCTCTCGTAGCAGCCCACGCTCCCACCTCTGCTTTCAACCAACTGCATTAATATCGCGTAATTTTATTTTCACTTAACCGCTGTCACCCTTCATGCAAAATGAAGATTTAAACCGCACACCGCTCGCGCACACGGCAGCCGTAATGCTATTTACATATAAAGTAAATTTGCATTGACTTGCCGCTAATGGATTTTTTCACTTCTCGCAGGAAAAATGCATTTTGATTTAGGCCCATGCTCTCCGTCGGCCGCTCCTGCTCTGTCCGATCGAATGGGCCTCGGCCCGACGCCGAAATGCTAAGGCCCGCGAGCTGATTGTTTTTAAAGTTCAGGAGATTGATTTAAAACTAATTAAGGCGCTAACTCGGAG